CAACTTGAGAATGTGAAATGTTTTAAATATTTGGGTAGCTTGATAACAGATGATGGAAGGTGTACTAGTGAAATTAAATCCAGGATTGCCATGGCAAAAGCTGCATTTAGCAAGAAGAAGAATCTTTTTACCAGCAAATTCGACTTAAATTTGAGAAAGAAATTAGTGAAATGCTACATGTGGAGCATTGCTTTGTATGGGGTTGAAACTTGGACACTTAGGGCAGTAGATCATAAACACCTGGAAAGCTTCAAAATGTGGTGTTGGAGAAGGATGAAGATCAGTTGGACCAATTATGTCAGAAATGAAGAAGTGTTATTTAGAGTCAGTGAGCAGAGGAATATCCTACACAAAATAAGAAAACGGAAGGCTAATTGGATTGGTTATATCTTACGCGGTAACTGCCTTCTAAAAGAAGTTATTGAAAGAAAGATAGAAAGGCGGATAGAAGTGACCAGAAGAAGAGGAAGAAGGCGTAAGAAGATGCTGGATGACCGTGGGGACAGAAGAGGATATTTTCATTTGAAGGAGAAAGCTCTAGATCGCATCAAGTGGAGGAACTGTTTTGGAAGAGATTGTGGACCTGTCGTCTTGACAGATTACTGATGAATGAATGAATGGTACTTCCTTAGACTAAAAGCAAATGCTTGTGAAACACGACATTATGTGTTAATGGACCTGCCATTCTAGATGGTGAACGATTATAACCTGGTTGTCAATTTCCTTCAGCCTGGCATGTATTTGAATTTCCGCACTGCATACTTTTGGTTGTGAATATAGATGGGGTTTGGACTGGTAATCAGATTTATTGGATACTTTAACAAAAAATTCGTAACTACACTTTTTAAATCACTATCACACACAGACTAGTGTTCTCATAGCTGCTTGGTAGTGGCTTCCAATGGCACAAGATTACAGGCTCAGTCAATCATGGAATCATGGAGCTGAGCTCTTCTTGAGAAGCTGCCAATTGTGCAGCCACACAAGAACATCCCAGCATTTTATGGTACCCGAAGGCTCATTATTGTGTTCACAAAAGCCCTCCACTGGTCCCTATCCTCAGCCAGATCAATCGAATCCATACCATCCCATCCTATCTCACTAAGATCCATTTTAACATTGTCCACCAACTTATGTCTTGGTCTTTCCTATGGTCTCCATTGGTCAAATATCTCATATGCATTCCTCTTCTCCCCCATTCATGCTACATGCCCTGCCCATCTCATCCTCCTTGACTTGATCATACTAACTATAATTGGAGAACAATACAAGTTATGAAGCTCCTCATTATGCAGTTTTCTCCAACCTCCTGCCACTTCATTTCTCTTTGGTCCAAAAATTCTCCTCAACACCCTCTTCTACCACACCCACAGTCTATGTTACTCCCTTTAAGTCAGAGACCAGGTTTCACAACCATACAGAACCACAGGCAAAATTATAGTTTTATATATTCTAATTTTGATGTTTTTAGAAAGAAGATGAGGAGACAAAACGTTCTGGACTGAATGGTTAGCAAGCATTACCCAAGTTCAGTCTCCTCTTGATTTCCTCCTGAATCAGGTTCTGATTTGTTATAGACATTCAATAATCTTATGTAACTATTACTAAACAGCGATCAGTAAGCATATGTTTTACCATTAACCCTCCATTAATTTAAAAACTCATGAATGTAACATCACCTTTCCTGTCATTATTTCTTGTTATCTACAGCATCTTCCCAGTAAATCACACGTACACAGGAAAATGTTATGAGTCTCCTCTAACAGCTTATCATTAGCGGCCTCCGTAGTCTAGAGGTAATGTTCCCACCTCATGACTCGTAGTACGCGGGTTCAAATACCTGGCGGAGGTCGTCGAATTTTTAAGGGCGGAAAAATTCAGGGAAGAAGTCCTCCGGGAGGGACTTTAAGCCGTGGGTCCCATGTCGTAGCTTTTCGGCACGTAAGAGAACCTCATACCTCCAAAGGAGGTCACTGAGCCAAATTACGGACGTTTCCTGCCCAACAGCAGTCACTAATACCTCTGGTAGATGGGGGAAGCATTATAGATACCTCTCAGCTAGTAGAGCCGGTCTCGCTCGCTGGGCAGGACTGATGGTAAGCACCAGTACCGGTAGGATATAGAGTCTGGTAGAAATCATAAAGGGAAGCACAATGGACCACTATAGGTCTAAGTGCATGGGGAAACCAACCCTCTCCAATAACTAACTAACTAACAGCTTATCATTTAATTTGAAAATTTAAGGAACATAATTACCTCTTTAAATTTTATAGCTTTAGTTTAAAAAACAAGTTTTTAATGTGGCAAGTGACTGTCATTAGCAAAACAGCTGTTTCTGAGCAACAGTCTTTCTTTGACGATTCTGGATTCTGCCATGCTTGCCTTGAATTAGACCACCTGGTTTTCACTTTTGCAAATATAATTATTTAACAAAAATCAAATCATGGTTGTTTAGGTATTCATGTCAGCCTAATTAGCTGACGTTATGTGAATGTTCGATGTGGAGGGTTTATCTTAATGAAGCTTGTAAATACAGTGAGCTTTCTAGACAGCTTAGCTGTAACTTATGCACTGTCAGTCAGAACGACTGGATGTAAAGAGCATTTGATTCTTCTGCCAGTCTCTCCACTTATCTCCTCTCCAAAAGAAAGCAATCATTGTATACTATGTAATCAAATCCATCAAAGTCTCTGACTCTAGGTCATGGGTCAATACATAGACATGATTCCCATACAAAGTGTTTAAGTAACAATCAGATTAATGGATAAAGAAACCGAATGAGAGCACTGGGAAACTAGAACATGTCTGACAATGAGTACAGAGTGCCCCAAAAGTCAGTTAACCTGAAAACATTCTCTCATATTAACAGAAATGTTCAGACTGAAACCTGCCAGTCAATTTATAGAATTGCATCAGATTCGTGAAATGTGCATTAAACACGGAGGATCTCAGTTCAAACAATTTTTGTAAATTCAATAAGTAACAAAGACATTTTTAACATACCTTAGTGTAAACTTTACTAACCAGTTAACTCACTTTCGGCCAGATCTGTATTTTTGTGTGCCCTATGATTCTTTTTATACCATCATCATCATTACTGTTATTGCTATCAGTATATTCATCAAGATCAAATAAACTCCTGGAGTCTGCAAGCAAACCATACTGACTAAGTGATTGCTACTTGTTGGCGAAGTTAGTGCGAACTTTTGTGGATAGAGGGTGTCACGTGGTCAGTGCGATGGATCCCCACACCCGTTAATCTCAGTTTTCTAGACCGGAGCTGCTATTTCCTTGACAAAGCTCCTTAATTATCCTCACGAGGCTGAGTGGACCCTGTTCCAGACCCACTACTTCTCAGAAAATGTGGTAGCACTGGGAATAAAACCGAGAACCTCCGGGTCTGTAGTCAGGAACTCCGACCACTAGACCACACATGCAGTCTATCCATCCATCAAGATCATTTCCCTTTAATCAAAATCTCACTGGGTTAAAAATAAATGTATAAAAGTATTCCTGGTGTAAATTGGAGGCCACTTCCTAAAATACAGTTGCTTCTCTGCTTAACAGCTCTTGCACCTTGGCCTACGCATAACCATTCCATATCATAGCTCAACTCACTTCAACCCTAAATATTAGGGCACCAGGTTCTTTCAAAATGTTGGTAACCAAAAATAAGACTATACACTGCAACAACCTAGCTGACCACATTCTGAACACTGGTACACTATACTAACTTGCATCTTGGCATCAAAATCATATCTTGAATCTACTTTTTCAGGATCAAAAAAAGAAACCAGTTTCTCATACAACTAAAAGTTACACTTGATGGCTTCTTAAAAAATTCCGTGTCTGGTGATTAAGCAATTTCACACATATCAGATTTAAGACTGATAATCTTAATAACAATTTAAGTAACTTTATGGCTGGTAAGGTGGAGTTGTGCATATCTGAAAATGTATGACCACCCCCTACAGAGTTAGTGGAACTGATTGTTCAGTTCCCTTTAGAGCAGTAAGAGGGTAAGTTCAGGAAGAGAACAAAGAGTTATTTACTTTTTAAATGGTTCATTAATGACACAATCACTATCATGACCACAAATGTTAATGAAAGGATGAGACTAGTGTGGAGCAGGTGGTGGAATGAGAATTGGTAGGGGAAAGCAAAGGACTCAAAGAAAACTTGACCAAATGTCACATTCTCTACCACAAAGCCCATATGAGCTGACCTGGGATCAAACTCAAGCCACAGTGGTGGAAAAGCAAAGTGTGTGTGGAAGGTTATGAAGTGGAAAACTGAAGCATTGGGCTTACATAAGATGGCACTAGAAACTGAAAACATTGGAGATGGAAATGCTGCACATGATTTGGATGGTAAATGTGAAACGAATGATGTCCCAGTCTAGGGTGTTTGAGTGGCATCACAGGTTCAAAAGCAGCTGTAAACTGACTGAACACAACTCAGACAGCAAACAGCAAGCAAATTCACAAAACAAGGACAGCGTAAAACAAGTGTAGGAACTTGCAGTTTTTCAGCTGGAAGACCACTGTGCACCACTGAGCATTGCTATTGGTGCTACAATCACGACAGAGGCACTCATCTGTCCATAAGAGGTAGGTAATCTGAAGTGTCCCAAAGTGTGGGTAGTCAAGGACTGGGTGTTCCTTTTTAACAATGCTCTAGAACAGCATTTGCAACTCACCAAGCAAGTTACTGTGGTGTGTTCCTACCCACAATACTTCCTCAGTCTCACACAATATAATTACTACTTCTTTCCAAGTATGAAGGACCACCAGTGATACAGAGTATGTTCAAGTGGCTTCAAAGACTGCATTGCAGGAAGCCACATAGAGTGGCTTCCATAAATATCCCAAATAAATGGGTGAATACTTGAAAAAGTGTGTAGATGGTGAAGAGCAATAACTGGAAAGCAATTTGGGGTGTGGCTACTGGCCCAAAATTTACAGAGGCCACCAGTTGCGATATCCGGGAGTACAGTGAAGTTATTAACAGACAACTGCAGGTATTGAAAGACAAATTGTTTGAAAAAGCTCTCAGTCACCAGATCTACTGCATATTTGAGTCCTTTGATGTTCTGTGTTAACAGTTTCAGGCAAGTGCCCTTAGTGTAGCAGTGTGCCAGCTGAAAAATGGCATGATGATTATGAATGCTACATTAAGAAAGAAAAAGTGAAAAAAAAAAAAAGGATTAATAAGCAAATAAATATAGAAAATGCAAACACAATCCATAACCTAGGAGGGATTTAAACCTGATACTGGACAAGCCAATATGGCAATTTCTACACTTTAACCTTTATTGTCCTTTACTGTGACTGCAAGTTGGGGGCCAGTAGGCCTAGCATTCCATTGTTTACAACATGCAGTTAAACTCCCAGCTGTCTGTACCATAGTATCATAGATTTAAATCCCCTATTCCTGGAAGACAAAGGTTTATAATGTCCATGGAACTGAAACGGATTTTTACGTTATTATATACTCCAAACATAACTGTGCATAATGGAAAAACAAATAAAAATATCACACTGCACAAGATTTCATAACCTAACTGACAATTCTCAGCTGGTTATGGACCAATTTAATCAGTCTGGTGATGAAGCTACGTAACACTGATCAGAACATTATGTATTGATTGTATTATTTTCACTCATGTCTCCCCAGTCTTCAAGATCTTCACCCCATCCTTCTGGTTCACTTTCACCTACAGTATAGTTCACATCAAAACAATGTTTACTTGATATCTCAATAGCACCACTACCATCTGTCCCTTCTTCAACAATCTGCAAGATATGTGTTTTTGAAATCACTGGCTCCATGTCCTGAAAGAAATCAAACTCATCATGACTCTTCACACTGCTGACAGAATTCTTGATGTCCAGCTGGGAGATGTCAGGCAGTTCTTGCACCACTGGTGCTGTATCAACCTTGACCTGATCTTGGGAAATTGAAGGTTCATGGGCATCACCATCAACAGAGCTAGCCACCTAGAAATATAAATCCATCTAAACAACATGAAAAAATATTCATACAAGTTCATGAAGTGACAAGAAAACATGACTCCCACTCTTACACTTTGTATAAGAAGTGCCTGGGAAATGTCACACCCACTTTCTTAAAAACAAAGTCTGCTGCTGAAAACACGTAACTTACAGTATTGTCGGGAACATCCCAGTCTGACCAAGGTTCTGTTTCATCATCTGAGGTAGGAATATGATCCTCTCCACCATCAGGTGAAGGTCGTTCCGGCAGATCAGCAGCAAATGAGTTACTGTCACTGTCAGTAACTGCAACTGGTGCTGGAGTTGGTAGCACTGGGTTTGGTGACTTGGGTGTCTTACTCTTGTGCGATACATGATGGCGAGCCTGTTCAGAGCATAATTCCCTACATTTATAATCTTACAGACATAGGATAACACACCAAATCACATATTTAATACAAAAGTAACGGAGAAGTTTTCACTAAGCTCAATAAATTAAGCACCACACCATGAAGACATCTGGGGGAATGGAGGCATAGCTCCATCATTTTTAACCTCAGCATTTGATGGGGGTGAGTGGTCAGATTCCCATCCCAGCCACTTTACTCCTGGGGGTAGAGCCATCAGAATCAACTGGTTAAGAGGCTGGGTGAGCCACAAAACCAGTCTAGATGCTGTGGAGAAGAGACAAATATCTTGACCCTGCCAGGAACTAAACCCAGATGTCTTGTCCGTCCAGCCTGTAGCCTTGTCACTATGTGGACTGACATATCTTAGTTCCTCTTCAGTATAAATCATGTTGAATTTAATCCTATTTTCAAGCTTAGCGCTATATTACCAAGCTGCGTTATAAAAACCAAATAACACATGGGAGACCTCTGTGCCAAAAATCAAATATTTTGTATAACTCTACCACATCTTAGCATATATATATATATATATATACATGAATTACATGCAACAGAAAACAAACAAGCCACAATGCATAAGCAATATGTCGTAGCAGGCTTAGCAGAACCTGCATCTATAGACCAGGAATTACTTATTGTGTTCAGGTAAAAAAAAAAATTAAGCTATTCCTGTAAGAGGCCGTGAAGGCCCATAGGGTTGTGACACGTTGAGGGTCCCACATGATCTAGACAATTGACTCAAAGATGACGGTAAGGTTGTCAGCCTTACGCGCCAGCCGCGCTTTACTCCCCAGGAAAATTATTTCATTGATTCCTGGTACTAATTTCTGTTAGAGGCTGAGTCGACCCCAGGGCCATAGTGCGGCTGGAAGGATTAGGTCAACTAAAAAAATCCAATGACCTCATCGGGACTTGAACGCGCGACCTTCCAGTTTGTAGCATAGTCCCTAAACACATCATATTGTGTTCAGGTGCTGGGGTTTATTGCTGTAGTACAATGCATGGAATTATCATCCTTTCCAGCATCACATCAAATGAGATTTATTATGGCCATTGAACATTAAGCTGTTGCACTAGATGAGGCAGTTGAAGCTTTTCACTGTCAGGCCTTTGGATGGGAAGAAGGTTGCTAACTGGCCACTATACACTGAAGGAGCGCCTACATATTACTGGCCTATCAGAAAGTGCCAGATGCAGGAAATGTAGGAACAAAGAGGAATCCTCCTAACATACGAGGGGGTACCCAAAAGAAATCAAACTTTTTTTTTTAAACTTATTTATTCAAATTTTAAGCACAAACCTTCAATCCCCTTCAAAGTACTCTCCACTTACACTAATACACTTGTCTAGTCTTTTATTCCATTTTTCAAAACATTGTCTAAATTCATCTTTTGAGATGCTTGACAGCGCCTCCGTCGGTTTTTTCCTTCACCTCAGCAACATCAGCAAAACGCAATAAAAAAAAGTTTTGATCATTTCGGGACTCTTCTTTCAAAGCACAGCATGCTTCCACGCGACCTTGTTTTTGTTCAGCAGTCAGCAGTCGTGGCACGAATTTCGCAGCCACCCTTTTCATTCCCAAATCTTCTGTCAAAATTCGCTGAACTGAGCTCCAAGTCACTCCCGACAGCTCCACAATTTCTTCAATGGTCCGTCGTCGATCTTCCTTGATGATTTCGCGAATTTTTTCAACATTTTCATGTGTTCGGGCCGTGGAAGGATGACCAGAACGAGGTTTGTCATCAATTGACATTTCACCATTTTTGAAACAGGAAAACCACTCAAACACTTGAGTTTTCCCCATAGCATCGTCCTTGTACGCCGTTTTTAACATTTCAAGAGTTTCTGTTCCACTTTTCCCAAGCAAGAAGCAGAATTTCACCACCGCACTGTTCACGAAAATCAGCCATTGCAAAAACGACGATCACACAAAACAGTTGTCACTATAAACTCTGCCGAAACTAGTCCTTACCTTCTGAAGCAATGGTAGTCGGCTTATCGACTCAGAAATGTTAGCTCTATGCGCTCATAGCGGCAAAACGCGGTACTACAAAAGCTCTGCCCACAAAAAAATTAGTTCGGTTTCTTTTGGGTACCCCATCGTACACTTTGTCAATGTCCATCTTTGGCTAGGCACAGAAAAGAGATCTTTGGTTCTATATGATTAGAGCCGTTATACCAGGAAGGCCTCAAATGGGATAATCTTGGATCTCGGCACTGTGGCCAGGACTCTCTAAAGGGCCCTAATAAGATCAGGGGTACACAATAGACCCAGCAGCAGTCTTGGTGCTTGGGGCGACTTGAGATGTTCTTCCAAGTCAATATTGATACCAACAGAAATCCTGTCTGAGTTCATCTTGTCAATGTCTTCTTTCATTCAACATTCTCCAAGAATGATAATTCTAATAACTGCAAATACAGCACATTACCTTAACTATTACTTCATTACACATAAAATGACTTAAATATGTTAATTTATTTAGCAACTACAGTAAAGTCTCCATTTAAGATTTCCTTGGAGAGTAGCAGATTTTAATTCTAAAATGAGGAAAACCGTAAAAGGAGGAAAATTTAACACTGATGATGAGTGACTTGGGATCATAGAAATGAAATGTTAAGAGGGGGACAACAGTAAATTGAGGAACATTAAATGGGGGTTGCCCTATAATTAACATACTGGCTAACATCTGACAAAGCATACTTATGATCCATCAAATAGAACACACTAGAAACTAATTCAAATAAACAACTTACACACTTGATTGTCGCATGTGACCTTACCATAAACCTGGAATATATCATAGATCCACACTGCAAATGACACCAGAAGGAAAAATCTTATAATACTGCAGCAGTCAACACATTAAAAAAATATAACAAATTTTGATAAAATTGACCATTACTGATGAGAAGTACCACTGAAATGAAATACCAAGTAAGATAAATGTTGCAACAATTTGTGATAAGCTATCAGCTAACCTTGGGACGCCCATCACTAAACAGCTTTGCTCGCTTCCCACCAATGACAGCAGCAGCACCAAGCACAGGAATCACATCAGCCAAGGCACGAAGAGTCACACTTACCAACTGTTCATTTGTATCTTTAATCCCCACCAAAAGCTGTATACAAAAGAAAGTCTAAATACATTCAGAACAATGATAAAATGTACACATGGCTTTCCTTGTATTTTAATAACCAGAAATGGTATGTATTGACAGTAACTCTATATCCTGTCTGCAGTAAGAAGTAATGAACTGTTGCAACATGCAGCAAAGTTTTGGAGCTATCTTGATAGTATTATTGTGAACATCTGAAGCACACTTTATTGTGAACTACAAATTAAGTATATTCAATATTTAACTTTAATATAAGAAGGCAGTTAAAAGTAAAGTTATCACTGTACTTCAACAATGAAGTACCACAACATGTTGGCACACAAGGGCACAGAAGTATAGCTACACTTATTGCTAGATGGAGCTGTATGGTCAGCTCCATGCCACTGCTACTTTATCACCAGGGAAACAGTCCTTGACACCTAATGTACAGGAGGCTAGGTCAGCCTCAGAGTCAATTCTGGCTGCCCAAGCCAGCGACTGAACTGCAGTTCCTCTGACATCTAGCCTGTAGTCTAGTCACTATACTGATTGAGGTATTCCAGCTCCATAAGAAGGTGCGTAAATTAAAATTGTTGTTATACGACTACTCAGCCACTGATTGAAGCATATGAATGCAGGTAATTGCAATAAGCTTTCTTGAACTGCATGTTAACATTATTATACAGGAATGACAACACGATGTCAGCATGATGAAACTTACCTCAGGTAACACCAGTGTACGTAACTGTTCCTCAGTGAAAGAACTGCAGTATGATGAAAAATGTGCAAGTAGCAAGAGACGGATCTGCACATCACGCACACAAAACATTTGCAGTAAACATGGTACTACATACTCCCTGTAGGTCGCCAATGAGAACAGACCTACATTTCCTCCATTTTCTGAAACAGCATACAAGGAAGAAAAAGATCAACAACTGAATCTTGTACATGCAGAATGTGTGTCTTTTAAAATAATGGAAGTATATATTTTTCTAGTCACCATCTACTGACGGTTTTTAGGGTTATCTACTAGTCATAAGTTCCTTCACATGATGCTGAAATCCTGTGGCTCATATAGTTTGACCAGAGCAAAAAATTTCCACTGATACACATTCTTGTACAAATTTTCATAGTTTATTACTGATCAGTGTAACATGTGCTGTTGATTTATGTATTAATATTATTTAAAGTTTATGCATATTCTCCAGTGTATCTTTAAAATCAATGTATTTGAAAAATAAAGTTCATAATTTGGACCTCCCCCCCCCCAAAAAAAAATTCAGCCATAGTAGCCACAAGAAAAGTGAAGCACTTTACCCAGTAATGATCTTACATACACATACCCAGCTTAGGACGAAGGACACATGGCAACAGGATCTCCTGTGCAGTGGTATCTAGTAAAACCATCCTTGACAGCAGAAGAGCTCCTAATTGCATGGCCACCAAATTCTCTGGGAATCCAGTTAATTCATCCATTAAAGATCTGTCAACACACAGCTCTGAATGAACATACCACAGAGCACATATCACCTTCTCTGACATTTCTGTTACTGTTAAAGGTAACCCCAAACAACTCCACAGAGCAGAATCCTCCTTGAGAAGCTAACGATCATTCTGCTAGTATAGCAATTTCTCACTTAATATAAAAAAAGTATTGTAAGCATGCCAGCCATGTGCTCTCTATAGTCTGATCCCATGAAACATGGGGTTTTGTGGCAGCAGAAGCGATTTTTGGAATCTTTACATCAAACAGAATGAAATGGCAACTTTTTAAGAGCCTAATGGCCATTACTTTTGTTTATGCGATGAAAGAAAGATTCTAGATTCATTAACGTCTATGATACAGATGGAGAGAAGAGTACTTGTATGTTTCAAACAGATGAGTGGTCTGGTTTGTTACCTTTGCCACAACATTTCTAGATAAAACTGGTTATTCCATAATATCAATACGAAATGAAATACCAAAATGGGCTTCATGCCATACCTACCAGTAAATGAGAATTTCACTTTCTAGAATTACTTCTAACACTAGGCAAATATGTGACACAGACAACAAGGTTGCGGAAATTTTTCCAATTTTTAACTACCTTGTCCTTTTCATAAATAAAAATAAACCCTGTATTATTTCATATTCAGTTTTCTGTTTTGTTGTATGATTCTACCAATACAGCTAAGAGTCACAGGATGTGGCCGTGCCATAGCTCAAGCGGTTAGTCGCTGGCTTCCCACCGCGGTGGCCTGGGTTCGATTCTGGGGTCTGGTCAAGTGGGATGTGTGGTGGACAAAGTGATGCTGGGACAGTTTTTCTCCAAGTACTTCGGTTTCCCCTGCCAATCTTCATTCCACCAATTGCTCCACAATCACCCTCACCTATCATCTGAGGCCAGTACAATAGGCCAGAAGTGGCCGCAGTACAAGGGACTTAGTCGGACACCACTAGCAATACAAAAAAAAAGTCACTGGATTCTGTAGACAAAATATTTGGAAACTATTGTACAATAAACTATGTATGTAAACCAGAAAATGAGTATATAGCACATAGCCTTCATGGTAAACCAGCAAAACTAAAGGATATTTACTCATTCACCCTACTGTACTCCATAACAACTGCTTCATACTATACACAAGTCTAAAAGTGATGTCACAAAAAATGAACAGAAGTTTAATAAATTCTGTACCAAAACTCTTCAAACAAGCAATTTTTACCACTGATTTTTTTAAAATAAATAATTATATGGCAAATATCGATATCTCACATAAATTATATGCCATGTCACTTCATTTCAGGCAAACTGAAACCAGTTAATGCAGAAATGCACGAACACAGAGGTCTCAAAACAGATTCTATTTTACGGTAAATAAACAGACCTGAAGAAATCACTCTTCTCTGCTTCAGTCTTGAGGGGCAGTTCAACTAAGAAACTGTGGATTTTGATGAACTTATGTGTAAAGAAAGTGTGGTTCAGTAGGACTGCCAGTTTAGGACGTAATGATGGCTCTGAATTCTGAAGATGTTTCTTGGAAATCTCAAGGAATTCTTGAACAGCTGGGATATCACCTACAACACAAGAAACAATGTGTTACATTTCATATGAACCATGTATTCTAGCTGAAAGACGGAGAGCGAGCTATGCATAAAGAAGCCAGTAAAAGAGCCCAGACAGAACAAACAAGTGCAAGGAGAATAAATAGCTACTGCTTGTTTTACTTACTCTTCAGCTCTGAAGATGGAGGCAGTCTGTTCTTCCAAAATGTTGGTGAGCTACTCACTACACAGTGTTATATCCCAACAGGAAGTAATTTTTCATTACAATGGTTTTATGTCATGAATGAAGTGCATGTAAAAACCTGTTTCCATAAAAAGTGTGTACATATTACAGATCAGAAACATGCAATTTACAGAATGAAGCAAATTAACCGTACTATTAGATTTCTTGTGTAGCACTTCTTCCACAAGTACACCAAAGCCATATTGATCAATTGATGTTGGATGTAATATGGCATTATTTGATGACTTGTAGGAATCCTCCTCAGGTGGAATGGCTTTCTCATAACGTCTGGCTCTGGTTTCTTCTAAATAACTTGGGGTTAGATCTGTAAACCTGAAAAATTACGAGCTATATTTCATGAATAGGTCACTTCAATATTGTAACTGTCAAACTGTACACACCTGTAAATTAGCATAGGGCCTTTCAACTGATGGTCTACAAGCCATGTCTGCCACAGTTATAAATACTATCTAATAAGGAGGGAAAAAAGAGGCAGGTACTTTGATTATACTATAAATGTACTTTCACATGAATTTTAATGAAGATCTTGCACATAAACTGTCAAAGAGTGTGAATTTTGAAAGCTAAATTCTGAAAATTATGTTCTCTGATGTGACACCAACACAAAACCTTACATTACCAGATCTTTTGTGTCTGACTTTCCAAGTTGCCAACTTACTTTATAAGTACTTTACTAACTAAGTAATTTCATGAAGCTGAGCCCTTCTTGAGAAGCCACCAGTTGTACATCTATTCAGAAGCTTCCTGGTATTTTATGGAACCTGAAGGTTCATTACCATGTTCATAAGAGACCTCCACTGGTCCCTATGCTGAGCCAGACCAATCCAATGCATACCATCCCATTCTATCCCTCAATGATCCATTTTAATATTTTCCACCCACCTACATCTTGGTCTTTCCAATGATGTGTTTCCTTCTGGGATCCTACCAAGATATCCGATATGCATTTCTCTTCACTCCATTTGAGCTACATGCCCTTCCCATCTCATCCTCCTTGACCTGATCATTCAATTATGCTTGGAGAAGTGTACAAGTTATGAACTTCCTCACTGTGCAGTTTTCTCCAACCTCCCGTCACTTCATCTCTCTTTGGCCAAAATATTCTCCTCAGCACCCTCTTATCAAACACCCTCAGTTTATGTTCCTCCCTTAATGTCAGAGTCCAAGTTTCACACCCATACAGAACCACAGGCAAAATTATTGTTTTGTTAATTCTAATCTTTATGTTTTTAGACAGCAGATGAGGAGACAAAGTTTCTGGATAAATGGTCCAGAGATGGCAGAGTTAGTGGTTGACAGTATTAACAGTTCCATGTGTTGAGCTCTTAAGGAGGTTAGTTCTCATGAATTTGAAGGTCAACATTGTGTTTTGGTGGAGGCGCAATTCAAGAAGTTCTAATGGGCCTCTGTTCACCTCAAATGATAATCAAACTTCTGCAGAAGAACTGAAGAAATATCTGGAGTCTGGAAGGATCAAACTGCTTGCTGCTGGTGTACGGAGTGTTCAGTGGAAAGCAATCATGGCGACTGAAACTTGTTAAATTATTGTTGTTGTTGTTGTTGTTGGAATTTTCTCAATATATTCGTCTCTTATTTTCATCATGACCCTCATTTTTTGCTGTTCCCATATACTCAAATGTTTTAACATAACATTTTCTTATTCTTTACTGGCACATTAAACTAAAATTTGAAAAAAAAGTATTCAAATAGGACTGTAAACGACTAATTAATTTTTTTTTAAATTCACTTGGGGGGGGGGAGTCCAACTGGGTCCACTCGGCACAGCAGCCACTGATTGGCCTATTGTAGCGTACCCTGGGTGATTATGATGATGGAGAATTTGGTGGAATGAAGATTGGCAGGGGAAACCGAAGTACTCGGAGAAAACCCACCCCAGCGCCACTTTATCCACCACAAATCCCACTTGACCAGACCTAGGATTGAACCCGTGCCAGCGCAGTGGGAAGCCGGCGACTAACCACTTGAGCTATGGCGCGGTCATCTGTAAACCACTAAGTATGGAACTCACGTACAGACATAGATACTCCAATCCTCCCAGTTTCCACGAGCCATCCGGAGTAACATAAATTGCAGCACGGCACACATTGTTGTGGGAGGCTAAAGCCTGCAGAGACACAATATATTAATTTCAGACAGTATTACACATTATGACTCTAAATTGAAGGTGGGAAAACTTGTCATTACACAATGCATTTAGAAAATCCATCCACTTTTAATTTGGTTATGTTTGGAAGTTTTGATACCCAAAAAGGATAAATGGAATTGTAATAGTAAAAGGGATAATTAATGTGAAATCAGTGACTGATGTGGAAGGAATGTTAAGTAACAACATGAAGCAGGAGATAAAGAAGCATTACACATTAGCAGATACAACTGGTGTCAACTGAGAGACATGGTACTAGCAATATAATTTTCTTAAGACGACATCAATGTAAATGAGAAGAGTAGGAAATATGGCATTTCCAATATAACTCCATATTATTAACAATGTAGATTATTCAGTGCTGAATGACTGGAGGAATAATTAGAAAGAATGAGGAAATAATCTCAGCTTAGAAGAAAGCAGTCTTCTGGAATGTGGCACCATGTAGATGTGGTGTTAACCAACGTTTCGGAGGAACATATCGCCTCCATCTTCAGGGTAGAAGGAAAAATAAGAAATCCGCAAGCAAGGAGACCGTGAGAACCGGTACAAGCAGACTGCTTGTACTGCAGTCTGCTTGTATAATAAAAGTATATCACAGCCATAAGAAGTTTATACTGTCTTTCAGAAAATCACAGAGGGCCATCAAAAATAGTCTACATGTACACTATATGGAAGTCACTGTCACTATACATTTGTCACTAAAATAATTATTGATGTTATTTAATTTGTGCTATTGAAAACACTGTTAAATAAATCATGAATAAACAAATGTGATGACTCCTGACTGAATGACTGGCTTAACATTCTGATGGAAGAACTTCTTCTCTGCCATAATTATCAGACTGTCGAGTGCACCTAACCTCTACTAAGACGATCTTCTTTGGGAGTAGAATGGCTGGAATATGAACTGATCACTCATCTACACTGAGTTCTAACATTGAGATTGCATGGAGTATTACCTCTACACTCTATTTTACATCATTCTGGTTGGATACCTTTACATTTACAGCAAAGTCACTTCAGATATAAGATTGTATGTCACAAAAAAACCATGACTGAAGAATACCAATTTACTCGTATATGCAGTTGTACGAAAACATCACAGCCATAAAATAATGAACAAGAGTGGAGACTGTAACACTGGTCCTTCTAAGTTAATAAGAAACTTTGACTGTTGCATGGTGTGGGACTTATTAGCTACACTTTAACCATACAGTGCTAACCTTGTCATGCAGGAAAACAAGGGCTTTCAGTATGCTGTGAAGACCAACACAAATCTGCAGAGGAGTCAGACTTGTGACAACTGATGCCAGTGGTTTCACCTCTTCTGTTGCAAGATGTATTCTTCCATTCTTTTTCCATGATGATATGAACTTGAGGATACACGGATGTCGATATAGAATCAAATTCTAAGAAGAAAATAATAATCATACAAATTCTTACAATTACTGGATCACACCTGTCACATCTTCCCGATTACACAATCCTTACCTTTGCTGCCCGTTCTAAAATTACTGCACTTCCTCCACTACTTGCTAAAACTTCACTTATAAAAACTGAAATGCTGGAATTACTACCCGCACAGACAGTTCCAGAATGTTGTGTCCAACCATCTGTTACCTCAACAATCCTTTCGTCAATTTCCAGTCCTGACAATTTACTCCCTTCATTGCCCATCATAACAAAATATTTCCGGAGTAAATTAATACGACTATTTTTAATTAATAACTATGTGATTAATATAAATACTCGTTTATTATTCATATGCTCTTTTTAATCGTATTATTCGTGCAATAGCTTCAACGGCTTCAACTATGAACTGCTGTTTACGCAGTAAGGTTAGGTTAGTCCTTTACGGCATGCAGAACTATCACCATGAGCATAAGACTAGACAGCGCTTTTATTATACATCGAGAAATTACATTCCGAGTGCTAAAGAATGAAATAAATTTAACATTCTGAATATGGTAAAAGGTCTATGAGAATGTTACACACGAATAATTTGCATACACTTTCCCATGTACATATTCTCCTCCATTACAACACCCTTACATCGCTCATTGACCACCACTATGACATGCGGTATATGTTGATCCGGGACACGGTCTGCTCTATTTTGCTTTTAGTTCTGTGAGTAATTGGACGAAATTGCATTCGTCGTCTGTTGCGTATAATATGAATGAACTGCGTGTTGTGGTTCAAATAATAATTGACCTTCAAGCAAACAACTCTTTGGCATTTACTCCTAACCTAACTTCCCCACTTAGCAGATATTGTTAGGAAGCATGTTGAGCGGTACGAGGAGTAAGGGGCATGCTGTGTGCTATAGGACCGGCAGCGTCAAGCTCAAGATCCTCAAGATGATTGGTTGAAACGGCACTGGGCATAGGCGATTTACGACATCTGTTATGAATACTTGGAATGATATGGTCGTGGTAAGGCTAGATTTGAAACTTGTCACATGAAGATGTCGCTAGGCATAGTCCATTTTTGAATATAAGATGTTTCCTTTTTTCAAAATTAAAATTTTGAAGTTACTGCCCGAGAATAAGAGAGTTGAACACCACGGACTGGAAACGAAATTGCGTGTCTAAGCACATTCTCCACCATTATTTGTTTTGATGTTACTGAAGCGGTATGGATTTATCGCATATTTATTATTTCATAATTTCTGGCAAAGTGTACATGTTCTCAGTGCAAATGTGTTAGTTAACTATGCAAACCAATGTTTAAGTACTTACATACAGGGTATAGTTGAGTACATCTACTGTAATCAGAAAAAAAAATTGTCCATTCTGGACGAACTGAATATAGCAATACTTGTCACAATCAAGGGTTGTCTATGTTTGGTGCAGGACTTTCCAACTGGCAGCATATGACTTACCACTTAGCCATGTGACACCTTAATATATCAAATACATATGTGATAACATACGCTTCACTCTCCAAACGTGAACCAAAACAATCAAAGCAGTATTCATTTCCATCACGAGTTTAATTCTGTACATTTTCAGGTGATATATTCCTCCGAAACATTGGCTGACTTCAATGGACCACAGTTTTATATCCTGTAAGCTGGTTCTCTTCACAACCTTCACTGTGAGAAACTCAAATCCTACAAGATGAACTGTTCTGAATTATCCCTTTGACTGCTGAATATTTCTTAGCACACCTACTATTAATCGGGCCTGGAAGACTTGTTCAATTATTTGTCAAGAGATGCCACAATATGCATATTTTGTCAGTTATGGATGGGGATATCGTGGGGAGAGCAATGTGCTACAGCCTGTGAATACCCATGACAGTCAAAAGCATAAGCATCTCCCAAACCTACAGCCTGTCTTTCACATTCTGAATACTTCTTAGGCTAGGTACCAATGGAAGGCCTGTATGATTACAAGGTAATTGGCTTCCTATCCAATGGGGACTGGGGGCTCTTTTCCTGGAGGTAGAGCAGCCAGGTTGTGAAGCTGACCACTCACCTCCAACTACTGTTGAGGTCAAGAAAACATGAGTCTATACATCTATCCCCAATACACCTTCATGGTAGAGTACTTAATTACTTAAGCACAGGGACTTCACCTTCTTACCTTACCAAAGTAACTACTGGCCTATGGATTTTTTTAATGCTAATGGGGTGGGACTAAGTCTCTTGTACTGCAGCCCCAGATGATGGGTGAGGGTGATTGTAGAGCAATTGGTGGAATGAAGATTGGCAGGGGAAACCAAAGTACTTGGAGAAAACCTGCCCCAGCGCCACTTTGTCCACCACAAATCCCACTTGACCAGACCTGGGATCGAACCCGGGCTGCTGCGGTGGGAAGCCAGCAACTAACCACTTGAGCTATGGCACGGCTAGCCTATGGATTCTTCACTCACAAAAAATTACTGACTGACAGCATTGGAAGATACTATTCTGACTTCAGAATACTGATGACTATCTTATGCTGTATCTAAAGCCTGTTACAATGTAATTTTATCAGCAATCTGATCATTACTCATTGTCTGAACTACAAATGCATATATACAGGGTGTTTCACGACTTTAAGGCATAACTGCTGAAGATGATTTCCTAGGTCATATAAACATGTGTCTGATTTTGGATGGAGTTATGACCGTTTTTTCATTCCCATACACGCCCTCGTGTGAACCGCGTGTCAGCGGGTGGGTCACTATTTTTAGCCAGCTACAGACAGAGCGTTCTCATTATCTCGGCACTTGAGATGTACTTAAGGCGGGGAGGGTTGGTATGCCTGGCGCAGTTCACAACCAAGTGGCAGCCTGTGTTGAGGCCGGCGGTGGCATTTTCGAATATCAGCTTTAGGCACCAATCAATTCAAATTAAAGGTAATTTCACGAAGTCAACTTTACATTCACACTATAAATGTATCATGTACTCATATTATGGTGGTTTATTCTTTTGTTCCATTTATTGTCAGTAACCGTTACCTTCTATTCTGAGTTTAAAACGGTCATAACTCCGTAACCGTCCAAAATCGGACACATGTTTATATGAACTTTTTTGATCACAAAGACCTAGGAAATCACCTCCTGCAGTTATGCCCTAAAGTCGTGAAACGCTCTGTATTGTACATACTTTTGAGAGGTTTACCTTTACACTCTGAGGGCTTACCTAACACAGTGAAGTACTGTAATTTTTCTTCTGTATGTTATATTTCTAATGTGACACCCTTGTTTTCTTTAATAAAGGAGGATTTTGCAATCAGTGACAATTATGACAAGATGTGACATTGTTAGAAATTGATATGTTAGAGATAATATTTATAAACAGCTTGCAACATGGTAAAGCATCAAACAAAATGACTGAACTACATACACATAATTCCCCTAGGTAGAAAAAAATGATCAGCTGTAAATAGCTAAGAAAACCTGATATATATGAAAGAACAATATTAAAAACACTAGATGACTACTGCCCTGTGTTCACTATTGCTTGTCAACCCCTGTAAGATTTCTGAATTTGCAGATTATTTAATAGAATCATTGAATATTACTGTGTACATTATTACAGAGTTGTTTGCATAATACAGACTTTTGTTTTGTAAATGTACATTTGTTTACTTATTTATGCAGTTCCTGCTCCTACCATCATGCACCCTTCACAAGAGGTGGTGGTACCAAAATCTTGCCCAGACAAGCACCTAATATTCTAATATTAAAGAATGAAAAAAGTTCAATATGTGGCTGATTTGTGCTCCCTTACACATTATGTGTAGATTATTGACTCTAGTAATACTCGAAATAAAAGTTCTTTGAGAGGCTTGGAACGATGACAATGTGTTGATCTATCTTGCATAAGCACTTCACTGGAAGACTAAATGAGACTGCTCCACATTCAATTAGAAACATTTTTTTAGGCACATTACACATTATTGTAAAAACTCAGATCTTAGTTTAGAGAAAAGGAACCCTTCATTATGGTCATTACTGTATACAGCTTCTTTAATGGCAGTAACTGAACTACATCAACACACATCTATTCAGAAAGAATAGCACTATACATTTTTTAAGGGGGGATACTTTTTCTGTTAAAAGAAAATCCACTTGAGCAGGGAAGCTTTATACAAACATGTAATTAACTTGTGCCACAGATCACAAAAAGGTATGAAAACTTTGCTTTCCAAGTTTCTAAAGTTGTATTTTTTATTTTCTTTGTCCGCTACATGTCAAACCATACAATGTCCATCATAAATAATTGGAACTTCAATCCGCCCAAGCTAAATACAGAGTACATATCTAAGGAAATCTGTTAACATTGCTGTCTCCTTAGATGTGTTGTCATGTACTCTGGTAGATCCCAGAAGTCAGTAATCTTCAAAGACACTGCCATGAGAACCCAAATATCAAAAATCCATTAAATTAGATAATCCTCCTTTGAAAATCAGAGTGGTGACAGAAAGCTAATATTCTACAGCTTCTTGTTATAATGGAACAGGTAATATGATATCTGAGCTCCATTTTCCCACAAAGTGTATTTGTTTCAACATTTCTATAATCATTCTGAAGAAAGAAATGTGAAAAAATGGTAAAGACATGAGGATTACTGCAATGCAGCATCTGATATTGTCCAGGTTTCATGGAAAGTGCAGAACTGTGTGCATTTGGTTTGAAAGGAACGTGTATAAACATATTAATGCAGAGCCTTCAAGTGGACACAGAAAACCCATGAACCATCATTTCAATCCACCAGCACAGAGGAACATGATCCATACCAAACAGACTTTTCATATGCTACCGAGTTCTGTTGGATGTTTTTCTGTTGTGTGAGATATAAATTAGGCATGCATAAAAATGGCTTCTTCAGTTTAAGATGCAGCAAGGCATCAATTTGAGAACAAATTATTAGACATGACAAAAGAATAAAACTTTTTCTGTTGATCCAATATTTTTACTGTAATCACAATTCATAACATTAGCCTGTTCTTACAGTGCACTAAAATGTACCAATATCCATTTTGATAATAAATCCTTTTTCATAAATCAGTGTGTTTTAAAAAATGAATTCTACGGCCATGTCTATGTACGATTTTGATGGCCGGGTTAATTTGCAAGCTACTGCTCAAAGCAATGGAAAACATTCTGGAAGATGGGACTGAGAGCTCACTATTCAAACTGAGACTTTCTTCTCAATTACATCCTGAATATCTGACTCATGCCTGTACAATGAAATTACATTATCTAGCCCAAACAAATTTAAATACATTACAGAACTGCTATTTTAGTAGACCCCTAATATAGAAATTCTTAAAAACTGGCAAAAAGCTATTAAAACCACATAACCCCTCCCCACACGCACACACAAATAACAAAAGGAATGTGGATGATTTAAATGAAAAACAGGCAGTTACTGACAGCACTCATTTCTGCTACCTATTACATGTAGAGCTTTCCAAAAATGTGAATATCTGGGAATAAGAAAAACAAAACTGCCTTGATAAAAACTAAGGCCAGGAAGCAGAATCACCAGGACAGGATGTTAATTGCCATCTATTTTCTTTTTTATTGCTAGTGGGGTGGGACTAAATCCCTTGTACTGCGGCCACTTCTGGTCTGTTATACCAGTCCCAGATGATAGGTGAGGGTGACTGTGGAGTAATTCGTGGAATGAAGATTGGCAGGGGAAACCGAAGTACTCGGAGAAAACCTACCCAGCACCACTTTGTCCACCACAAATCCCACTTGACCAGACCCGGGCCACCATGGTGGGAAGCCAGCGACTAACCACTTGAGCTATGGCGCGGCCTTAATTGCCATCTAAGTATACCTAGTTCATATCCTTGT